ACAGCGAGGTACAGTGCTTGGACCTGCCAGAAGACCACACTTTTCTTGGGCCATTATTTCCGTAACCGTTCAACTTTGGACATAGGTGTTTTGGGTTATATCGGCATACTTTAACATAAGGAACACCCTCCCGAAGTTTGGCACATTCCTCCTGGGACACCCTGTATATACTCGTAATAACACTTTCATAATCATTTGTGATGTTTTAGCATTTGTGAAAAATTTTTGCACTTTAAATAAATGTGACAATTTTTAAGCCTTAAACCTGATTACTTCTATGCCCTCTTGTAACATTTAAATCATGGCATGGCAACACATTAACATTTCCCTTTTGCATCAATATTGTAAAGCAAAATAATCTCTTACACATTTAAGCTTTTTGTTACAGTATTTAAAGTGCATTTTTTCACCAATTGTCTTATACTATGCAACAGTGCCAACATGATTCCAGCACTGAGTAAAATTTTTTATTCAGTTACCAAACTCCCCACATCATATGACTATATTCTTTCATGTGACAAATTGCCAGTAGAAATGAAGTTGAAATAATTGGCAGTGGCCTGACCGCTTATGAATAAGTACTCATTTATAGGGGACATCACAATTGAGAATAATGTATCAATACACAACAAACATGTAGGAGTAGGGGAGGTCACAGTCTTTTGAGATGTGACCCCATATAGTTTGGTAGGCAGGTACAAACATTATGGAGAAGTCTACTTGCTACAGTGTAAGGTTAGTAGTTCCCCTGAAACATTTGTATTTATCTGCCAGATGACAGAGCATCTTATCCCAGAATACAGTAATCTTCATTAATCTTCATATTTACTGCTGTGAGAATATTAAGTCTGAAATGCAGGATCAGAACTTTATATTTTGATGTCATAGCTTTCAGGTAGTGTGATGTTGGCTTTTTACCATAGTATGACAGTTTAATTCCATGGTAAGTATTAGACACAGTGGCATTGGGGTAGTTTTTCTGTCAGTATTTCAGATGGCCATGGTCATTCATTCTTCCATTACTCAGTAATCATCTTCCATCACTCTTGACATATGCAGCAGACATTGTAGTTGCACAGCCTTGTTCCTCATTTAGACTGACTCTGGACTCTGGAGTATAGAAATGTAAATTTTAATTTTTCATGTATCTATATTGAAGATATGTTTTTGCAGGCATTGGTTCTACCAGGAGAAAAATATGAAGTAACATACCTGGCTTCAAGTCCAAACAAGAAATATTTGGCAGCGGGTTATTCTGATGGAACAGTTAATGTCTTTGACTTGAAATCTGGAGAGAATGTAACAATTTTCTCAGGTCACCGAGGAGCCATTACGTGCCTAGCTTATGATGCCGAAGGGCATCGCCTTGCTTCAGGAGCCCAGGCATGTGTGAATTTTTGGCCCACTATTTTGGCTTTTCAGTTGTCATGTTACAATACATAAGTACATATTGTCACATGATTGAGTGTGACTGTAGATGGGTTTTTGGATGGATGACTTGATTTATTGCACACTTTGATATAGTGAGTGACTATACTTTACAGTTCACTATTACACACACACACACACACACACGTGCGTGCATGCATACCTGTCCACAGTCACATCTTCACTGCTGTTGCTTGGTAGTGACTTCCAATTGTGGACTTTCCCCTGGACTCTGGGTTCCTGAATGGTTCTGGGCCTCAGCTACTAGCTTGTAACAGCAACAACGCACAGTGAGTGAACCCCAGCAGTCCTCCAACTAACTATAGTTGCTAATTGTTCCTGCTCATGATATCTCTGCAGAGACTTTTCATTACTACTGTATTCTCTTGTTGCCCTGGAAACATCCCTGTTTGCAGAGCTGATACTTAACAGGCGCTGCTGTATAGTTGCTTATTCCGCAGTTGTTGCCCAGCAACAGATCTACATGCCACAATATGTTATTTTCAGGACACAGATATAATTGTGTGGGATGTGGTAGCAGAAGCTGGGCTGCACAGACTCACAGGCCATAAGGGAATAGTGACTCAGGTCCGCTTCCTCAAGAAATACAATGTTTTGGTGTCTGGGTCAAAGGATACATTTGTCAAGTTCTGGGACCTTGACACCAGCCACTGTTTTAAAACTCTTGTTGGACACAGAACAGAGGTAACATTTCATTTGTGTGTTTTTTAAATATTTTTCTTTCCATCACTGCTGGGATCATTTCTCTTCTTTCCTTTGGGAGGAAGTTTCATGTAGTGATCCAAAGCAGCAAGTAAAACAGACAAAGATGATTGGTCTTAATCTATGGTGGCATTTCATGCAGTTTCTTCTAACGTCAATCAAATCATGCTTACTAAAGTAAACATTTAGAGAAATTACTTGGAACATACCTATACAGGTGAAAGATTAATGCCAGATAATTTAACATTACTAATATTTTTTGTTGTTCTAGGCATTTACAAAGTGATTGATAACATTTGGGATTCATTTTCCATGTGTCATCCATACTCTAGTCATTGATCCATTCAATTTTTATCCTGCTTCAGACGTTTTTGAGAATACAGTATCACAGTCAAATATTCTTTATCCGCTGATGACTAATGTTGTTTCTAGGATGTGGCCAGCTACTTTGTGCAACCTACTGTATCATGTCTCATAGTTAAGTTTGCACTTACACTGTGCTAGTATTGTTTCTTCTCAACAGATGGAAGCTTTATGTATGCTCTTCTCTGGTATTTCCTAGATCAAAGACTGTATTTTACTATCAGTATTCACAAAAGTTGTCCTCTGTGCTTAACTAATTAAGCACAGTGCCATGATGGCGTATGGGGAGTGGATGTATAGCTCCACATTTTCTTGACCTCAGCACTAGCTGGAGATGAGTGATCAGCTTCATGCCCCTGTTGCTATACCCCTGGCGAAAGAGCACGCAGTAACCATTGGATAGGAGGCTAGATGTGCCCCAGAGCCCGTCTGGATGATGTGAAGAAGGGAAAATTATTGACCCTATTGGGACTTGAACTCCAACCCCTCGGTCATCCAGCATATAGCCAGTCACTATACTAACTCTGCTATCCCAGCTTGTTAATATGCATAAAAGAGAATATAAGATTAAGATACATTATGAAATCATAGTGCAAAAGCTGTGACTTGCTACCATTTGAATGTATCTCTAAGAGCAAGCAGGGTGCTATTTAAAGAAATCTTAAAGAGGTTAAAGGATAAATTAGAGTATATTGAACACTTTAAATTGTATTGAATTGTAAAATGAAACTGTTAATGTGAACATGAACTGTGTTCCAGGTCTGGGGATTGACTGTTGTGAAAGAAGACAAATACCTTGTAACAGGCTGTGGAGATAGTGAGTTGCGTGTATGGAGCATCGTGCCGAAATATTCATCTGTGATGGATTCAGAGATTGTAGAGAGGGCAGTGCCTGATACAGAGGGCTTTGTGACTGGAGAAGAGGCCACTGATATGAAGGGAATAGTGAGTAGCTGAAGTGCTATTTTCTTTGTTATGATAGTACACATCGTATGAAAAAATACAACAAAACCTCACCTCACAACTCTGTGTATGATAAAGAAATTGTATCCTGATGAATATGTGGTGTGACCTATGGTGGGTAAAGTATGGTCTTTTTGATGTATTTTTAAATATTTCTATGGCCCAGAAATGTTTTACAGACCTCTTTGAGAGATGCCTACATAGAGCTTGAGTCCACATCAGTGCCAGTTATGGTAACACTGCTGCCTTCTCCTTTTTATGGTGATATATATTGTTTTGTCTCTTTGGGGACTAAACTTTCCTATTTGTTAAAGTTTGTTATATAAACATGTTAAGAACTTCTTATTCTTTAAGTTAAATTGGAAAGCAGATGAATCTGCATTTTTTTTTTACATTCCTTGCAGTTACACTGTAAATTTCAAAGGTGAAAAGCAAGTGGCAATGGAAACCACAGGCTGTGAAAAGTTACATGTTACTGTCATGGTATGTATAACCGCAGATGTCAATAAATTACCACCATATGTAATATTAAGCAGAAAGACAGTGCCAAAAGAAAATTATTGCAAAGCTGTAATAATTTGGGCCCAAAAAAATGGATAGATAACATCTAAGTTAATGGAAGACTTTCTTGGATATGTATGAAAATGTTGGCCTGGTGCATTATCAAAGCCACAGAGTATGCTTGCAATGGATGCATTTCATGGCCATTTCTCCAGCAGAATCAGAAATAGGTTAAGGAACAAAAACACTGATCTGTTGATAATTCCTAGTGGCATGACAAATCAATTACAACCACTTGATGTGTCAATTACCAAACCATTCAGGCATCTTGCCCATAAACACTATGATGCCTGGCTGATTAGAGACAACCATATATTGACACCTAGTGCCAAATAGAAAGACTATCAGCATCAGTAATAGATAGAATATGAAATTTTGCAGGAGAAAATTAATTGTTGTGGATGTGTAAAATTGATATCTGTCTAAAAACCATGGAAATTATTATGGATATCCGGCATGTCATAAATAAATGTCAGTAAGCTTATGCCAATTAGTGTACTTTAGGTCTGTTGTGTAAATACTTAACTGAACTGAGTGTCATGTTTCCAGAGTCCTCTCCAGTGCAGGAAAGTTGGTTCAATCCTCCGTTCTGGTCGGGGCCGAGTGACGTCACTGACAGCTGATACAACAGGTCGTGTTATTGGTTGTCACGGTACTGATGGCCAAGTTGAACTGTTCCGTTTATGCTCTGACCAGGATGCCACTGCTAACCTGAGGAAGAGGCAACGGAAGGAAAGGAAGAAAGCTGCAGGGTAAGTTGATTATAACTTTTTAAATTACTGAGAAAAGATAGTGGTTGTATTGAAATGTAGTTTGAAGGTCTTCTGGAATGTGATGCCATATAGTCTGGTAGATGTTACCAGTGTTCTTGGGCAGCCTCTATCTTTCTCCTGAAGATGGAGATCACAGGTTTCTCTGTCATGTTGGTAATGATCTATCAGACAGAAGACCAGACAGACCAGAAGACAGTAATCTTCTTAGTCACACCTGTGAGAATCTCATATCTCACAGAATATAGTTTGTATAGTAGTGAATTATAGGTTGATTTACATGTAATCTTTGATGCTGTGAGGTCATGGCTGGTTTGTTACTGTTTATTCATTTCAAGAGAGAATAACACTTCACTTTAAAAGCTTACTTTTTTATAGTGAATGCAAGGCTGTATTGAAACCATATTAAAATATGCAGTATCCAGTTTGATACCATGATGGGCACTGTAGGAATAAATCTACTGTGCTGTCAGAATAGCTACTGACAGAAATTTGTATTTGATATGTATGTAATTCAGAAAAAGGTTTATTAAGTCAGAAAATGACAATGAAACTCTGTGGATAATTATACATACTAGTGAATAATGATGAAGGTGAGAAAGTGGAGAGAATGATGTTATTGACAGAAATTTTAAGTGGGAAAACATGTCAGTTATAAGAGACTGAAGAAAATGTTTACTTGTTGCATTGGGCTACATGATACAGCAAAGGAGATCATGTCATTTCTGAAATCTTTAACTGCTTTCCAATAAATAATTATAGAAGACTTGCAGTTAAGAGGACCAATACAGAACAGGTTGAATCTTTGCCACCGAACAGTTAAATATGAATTTCAGAAAATTAATAGCAATGTTCTTGCCCAACTGGGGCACATATAAAACATGATTATTTAATTTTGTAGAAAATGCAGTTTGTTCTCATAAATAACCAGTACAGTTAAGTCAATTGTAAATTCACCAGTCCAGCTATTTGAGTATGTCTTTTGTCTTATAACTTATGGAACAGAGCAAGCTGTTTGAACATACATGTACTATGTCTGATTTAGTGCTGGGGAAACAGTTCCTGATCTGGAGCAACAACAGCCGGGACTGAAAGATGAGGTGCGGAGGTTGACAGCTATCAAGATGACTGATGGCAGAGTGAAGTCTATTGATCTTGTGATGGGCAGAGGAGAGGAACTGAGGGTGTGTATTCTTTCTAACAATTGTTGCTGCCTTGCCAGTCAGATTTTTTTCTCACATGTTTGTATTAACACTGATATCTGCTTACAAGACTATATGGTGGCACAAACTGGAACACATTCTGAACCCCTACTTTGTGAAGGTTTGTCATATTTCAGTAATATGACTCTTTAAAAAAATGTGTAAAGTTTATCATGAAGATATGTAGTTAGTTAGTTATTAGAGAGGGTGGGTTTTCCCATGCACTTAGACCTGTAGTGGTCCATTGTGCTTCCCTCTGTGATTTCTACCAGTCTCTACGTGGTGTGTTCAAAAAATGACGGGAATTTCCGTATTTTGGAAAAAATATTTATTCATTCGTCTACATTAATGTTGTCGCCTTCAAAATAGTCCCCATTCGATATTATGCACTTACGCCAGCGCTTCTTCCAATCATCGAAACACTTCTCAAACTCGATTTTTGGGATAGCCTTTAGCTCTTTCAGCGATGCGCTTTTAATGTCATCTATGCTTGTAAAACGACGGCCCTTTAAGGTTCTCTTTATTTTTGGAAATAGGAAAAAGTCACACGGAGCCATGTCTGGCGAATATGGAGGCTGGGGCATCGTTACAGTATTGTTTTTGGCCAAGAATTCACGAACAAGCAACGAAGTGTGAGCAGGTGCATTATCGTGGTGCAAAAGCCATGAATTGTTTTTCCACAAATCCGGGC